GTTCTAATTGTTCTAATTCTTTTATCAATTTGTATCCTTTTTCTATTGGTTCCTCCAAAAAGAAGACCATATCATCGGCAAACGCTTGTAATTTGTATTCTTCTGTTTTAATTTTCAATCTTTTAATTTCGGGATTTTGCCTGATACGTGTTAAGAGTGTTTCTAGAGTGAATATAAAGAGAAGAGGTGAGAGAGGGCAGCCCTGTCTAACACCTTTTTCTATTTTTATTGGACCTGTGTGTTCCCCATTTATTAAGATATTAGCCTGTTGTGTGTCGTAAATTGTTGTTATGATATTTTCAAATTTAGTGCCTAGATTCATATTATAAATTTTTTGAATTAAGAAATGCCAATTTAGGTTATCGAATGCTTTTTCTGCGTCTAAAAACATAAGTGCGAATTGTTTCTCAGGGTGGGCTTCATAAAATTCTAAGACATCTATTACTGTTCTTAAATTATTCTTTATTTGTCTAGTCGGGAGGAATCCATTTTGGTCTTCATGTATGTGTGGGTTTAAAACTTGTTTTAATCTATTGGCTATAATGGAGGAGAATATTTTATAATCAGTATTTAGGAGTGAAATTGGTCTGTAGTTGTTAATATATCTGTGGTCAGCTTCCTCCTTCGGGATCAGCGAAATCAATGCTTCCCTCCACGAGTCTGCATCTTAGCTGCTAGTAGTACCTCGTTGAACACTTCCATCATCAGTGGTCCAATTAATTCCATGATTGCTTTATATAATTCTGCCGGAATCCCATCTGGCCCTGGGGTTTTATTATTACTTTGATTCTCTATTGCTGATTTCAATTCGGACCATGTAATATCTTTATTTAATAATTCTATCCATTCCTCTCCAATTACTTTGTCATTCGTTTCCTCTAAGTTCTTATTTTATCCTCATTAACTTCTTCCTTTTTATATAGCTTTTCAAAATATTTGTGAATGATGTCTTTTTTCTTTTCTATCTCATGTTATAAGTCGCCCTTCTCATCTATTAACTGGTATATCAATCTCTTTTCTTTCCCTTTTTTATGTTTATGAGATAACCATCTTCCTGGTTTGTTTGCATATTCAAAATAAATTTGTTTAGTCATTTTCAAATTTATTTCCATTTTTTCTTGTTCCAATAAGTTCAATTTATGTTTAGTTGTTATTAACTGATTTGTATTCTTTGGTTTTTAGAGGTTTTTTGTAATTGGATTTCTAATTCCTTAATTTGTTGTTGTAATTTGTTTTGTTGAGCATATTTTCTTTTATTTCTCATGGCATTATAAGAGATTGTTATTCCTCTTATGACTGCCTTCAATGTATCCCAAATATTTTGTTTCGAGGTTGCATCATTATCATTTTCCTTTAGGAAATAATTTAGTTCCTCTCTAAGCTTATTAATATACTCTTCTTCTCTTATTAATTGAGTATTTAATGTCCATCTTTTCTTTGATTTTCTCCTGCCTTTCCAAATTATTTGAATTGGGTTATGGTCAGCCCATTCATTTGGTAAAATTTCGATTCCTTTTATTTCATTTGCAATTTCCCCATTCATCCAGGCCATATCTATTCTTGTCCATATTTTATGCGGGTTAGAGTAATATGTAAATTGTTTGTCTTCTGGGTTTAATTTTCTCCATAAATCCATTAAATTTAGTTCTTTCATCATTTCCTTACAAGTCTTGGGAAACTCTCTTTTCCCTTTTTTGTTCTTAGTCGCATTACTATGGTCCTTTTGGTAATCAGCAATAGAGTTAAAATCGCCTATCAGACAGATGTTCCTTTTTTCAAATCCTATTATTTTTTGGTGTAAATATTTAAAAAAAATTCCTTGTTCTTCATTTGGTGCATAAATTGCTACCAATAGAAATGAATTAGTATTAATCGAGATTTGTAAAACCAGAGTTCTTCCTTCCAGGTCTGACCAAATTAGATCTGCTTTTAGGTCGTCTTTCACGTATATTGCAATTCCTTTCTTTTTTTGTTTATCTGCTGGTGCCGTAAATAACTTCCCTAGTTTCGGGCAAATTAAATATTTTTCATCATTTTTCCTAATGTGAGTTTCTTGTAAACATATTTTTCAATTTCTTTTATTAAAACAATCCCAATTTCATATGGTTCCTCTAGGAAAAATACTATATCATCAGCAAATGCTTGTATTTTATATTCTTCTTTTCTGATTGTAACCCCTTTAATTTCTTTATTTCTTCTAATGTTTGTTAATAAATTTTCGAATGCAAGGATAAAGAGTAGGGGTTACAAAGGACATCCTTGTCTTACTCCTTTATTTATATTAAATGTTTCTGTTCTGTCTCTATTGAGTAAAACACTAGCTGTCTGGGTTGAATAGATTGCCAATATCATCCTAATAAATTTGTTCCCAAAATCCATGGCTTTTAGCTGTTCTGTAAAGAACTGCCAATTTAATGCTTTTTGCGCGTCCAAGAATACCACTGCTGTTTGTTTCCTGGAGTGTGCATAATATTCTAGGACATTTATTATTGTTGTTTTTGTCTATTTGGTAAAAATCCATTCCAGTCAGTATGTATAATTTTATTTAATATTCTCTTAAGCCTTTCTGCAATTATAGTCATAAGTATCTTGTAATCAACATTCAGTAGTGATATGGGCCTATAATTTTGAATTTGTTGATGCCCAGTATTTTCTTTTGGGATTAATCTAATGTAAGTTTCCTCCCATGATTTGGGTAATTTCAGTATCGCTAGGGCTTCATTATATATTTCTAACATTTGTGTTTCTAATATTTCTTGTAATGTTTTATATAACTTAGGGAGTTAAAAATATTACTTGGGAATAAACAGCCGAAGGTTGATTAGAAAATTGATTTTCAAAAATCAAACAAACTAAAGGGTCAGATAGATTTGAAATCATATTTTGAAATTAATTAATAGTATCCTACTATTACTGTGTTTCCCTGAAAATAAGACTTGGTCTTATATTTTGGAGGGGCTCCAAAATAAGCATTAGAGCTTATATTCAGGGAATGTCTTATTTTTTTCACATACAGAAGGCAATGAGTGCAGGGGCCGATGGGGGTGGGAGTGCTGCTACTGTCAGGCCGGACCTCTCCATCCCACCATCTGCTTTGCCCATAGCCACAACAGACCAAGCTCTCGGCATGCCCCAGCCACTGGCCACCCTTCCTGCTGGCCCTGCTGCTGCTGGGACACTGGAGCTCGGGTTTTGCTCACGCTGCTGCTACTATAAGGCAGAAGGCCCTGTGGTGCATCAGGATTGCCTGCTCCCTGCCTGTGCCACCGCACGTTGGAATCACCTGCCTCCATTAATTCGGGTGTCAATACATCCCACCATCTCTCAGCTTGCCCATGGCCACAACAGCACAGCACATCCAGACTGCCTCCCCCACATACCTGTGGCCCAGCTGCTGGGCCTGCTGCATTACCCTCCTGGCCATGCTGCTCTCAGCCACACTGCTCAGCTGCTCCTGCCTGGCGCAGGACATGTCAGCTCAGATCTACAATCTCTGGAGCGCCTCCCGCCATTAGCCTGCCAGGGCTCTTGTACTGCAGGGCACTGCAGCTCTCATGCTGGTTGTGTGAGGTGGGCATGGGGGTTCCCATGTCTGCCATTGGCCTCTACTTCACCTGCAGCTGCTCTGCTGCTGCCACTTCACCCTCTGCCCTGGCCGGTTCAGCAGTCCAGTGCTGCCATGAGATGAGGTGAGGCTGGTGGGGGTGGTGAAGCTGCCTCCCTCTACCTGCCAGACACCTGCCAAAGGGATTCCCCACCATCCAATCAGAGCTGAAGAAACCTCTTGGATGAGAAGTGAAATGTCTTCAAAGAAAAACCAAAAAGTCCAGTTGCCTTTTGAAAAAGCACCTTTGGGACATGAGGTTGGGTAGTATCTGGATGTGGAATCTTGAGGAAATATCAGGATTGTAGATTTCCCACCATCCAGTCAGAGCTGAAGAAGCTTCTTGGATGAGAAGCAAAACATCTTCAAAGAAAAACCAGAAAGTCCAATTGCCTCTTGAAAAAGCATCTTTAGGACAACCTGGATGACTGAGAACCTCCACAGACATTTACCCAATTTATCTTCTGAGATTAGACAAAGCCAGATGCTACTGGAATACATGTGAATTACTACTTTACTATCTCCTGATAAAGTAAATGATCTATCTAAATACTTCATATGTATAGGAATAAAAAGAAACCATACTTATAGAATATTTCTAATTACTCATTCTTGCTCCCAGGTGAACAGACTGAAGTTTTAGATTACTTCCCCTGACAAATGAGATGGTGCCTTATATTGACAGGTTGGTCTAATCCTATTATACTATTTATTAACCCTGCTTACATTTCCTAGTATCTCTTTTGCAATTTCTGGGGTTTACAAAGAAATACGTTTTTTATAAACATTCAATATTTATACTTTTGCATTTGGGATATATAAGTGGAACAAAAACACCAGCCTGACTATCAAAATACAAAATGACAATGTGTTTCAATTCTGGTTCTGGTCTTATTCTAGTTTCTCTCAACTGACAAAGCATAAAAAGTAGGTAAGGAAAAGAAAAACCTAATAGGACATACAATATTTATACAGATAATCACAAGTTGCCTCAACAACTCAAAACCTTTAGGGTTTCTGAACATAAAAATTAGTTGCAAAATCAGTAGAATATAGTTTTCTTAGCACAAACCAATTTCATATGTATCATTTCAATGAAAATTTTAGTAAAACTAAAAACTAAAATTAGTAAATCTTTTATCAACAAGTATATTATTCCATTCTAACACTGCTTGTTTCTGAGGATCAAAACAAAAATTGTGCTCAAATTCATGAAGGAAGTTACATGTCTCTTCTGCAGAGTCAATTAAAGTGACTTTTAGAGTCACATAAGTGAGATGACTGGTATTGAATTTAATAAATAAATAAGCAATTCTTTAAAAATATAGTAAGTTAGAATACTTATGAGAAGAGCATTTAGATTTCATATATTTGAATTCTGTAATAATTACCATACCAAGTTTAACAGATCCTCCAAACAGTGACCCCTTGTCAAAAGCATCTTTCCAGGTAAAAGTTACACAGATCTAAAAATAGAAATAAAAACAGTAAATTAATTTCTAGCCTTAAGATTGATATAAATGTTCCAAAAAAGATCCTTAAGCAGAAATACAAATGTCAAAAATAGTAAAAATCTGGTTCCGGTCTGCAGCGCTTCGGGGCAGGCAGGAATCCACGACTGTGTGCGGTTTCTGCCTGCGCTCGCTGCCGGAGTGCCCTGAGCCACCTGGCTTCAGGGCTAGCCACCTCCGTAGAAGGTGGCGAAGATAGGGGGGATCTGGCAGGGTCGAGAGATATCGCACCTCTCTTCTCTAGCCGGCTAAACCCCCTTTTCCGAAGGCAGCTGAACGGCGGTCAGAAATGGCCGCCACATAGAAGCGCTCAGCCGGAAAAAGAAAGTGCAGGAGGAGTCAACAAGAAGTAAAAGGTTTTTTTGCTGACCGGGACAAAGCAACAATGAAAGTACCCTGGAACTTAAAATTTGCAAAAGACACATCGTTTCCAGAGATTTACAAGCAGCGAATGGAAGTTAAAAGGGAAAGTTTTTCTTTTTTTTCACTCTCCTTCCTAACGTGACAGCGAATGGAAATGCAAGAGAAATCGGAAAAACCCGCATTGGCACTAATAGGTAATTAAATGCTAAAGGGATAAGGATTTCTGAATATTTAAAAAAAATCTTTTTTGCTGTAAGTGGGAAGGGAGAGGAAAAGAATTGGAGGAGGATTTGGAAGTAAGGAGGAGATTGCCTAGAATTTCAAAGAATTATTAAATACTAACAAGACTTCTAAAAGATACATTTTAACTGGAACTTTGTAACTAAACAGTAAACCTGAAAGAGAAAGTGAAGAAAGAAGAAAGTGCTAAAAGAAACAGCTTATTTGGATTGTTTGGTGACTTTGGGACTTTTGGGAATTATTTTTGACTAAGAACACTTGGGTGGTTGTTTTGGAAAAACGTTTTCTTTCTACAATGGCATCACTTGTAGATGAATTGAAAATTGAATACAAAAAATACAAAGAAGAAGAACAAGAAGGGAAAGACTCTCTTGGCACTCTCTTTCAATTTTTAGAAATGGTGATTTGCACTTATGAGAAACTGACTGCGCAAAAAGATGATCGGGACAAAGAAGAAGCCATCTTTGATGAACAAGTAACTTTATTTGGGGAAGAAAGAGAGAAAGAAGAAAAGAAAAAGGGGACTTTACTTGAAAAAACAACCAAAAAATAAGGTGAAGAGTGGATATAATGTTGGAAAACAACAGAAAGGGGGAAAGCAGAAGAAAAGGGAGGTGGAGAGACAAGGGAGTAAAAAGGGCAGGGAGAAGAACAAGCAAGGGAGGAAAGAAGGGATGAGAAGTCTTAATGGTGGGGAGCAAGATGTGAACAAACAAGATTCATTTAGAGATAATGGGTAAATTTAATTGAAAAAGGGATTCTGCAAAGGTACATAAGATTTTATTCTTATATTGGTACTTAGAATTATTGTTAGAAAATTGGAAACAACGTGTGATCAAAAATGGGATAAAATATTTAGTGTAACAGTGAAATTTTTGTGAATAAAAAGAAGGCAATGAAATAAATGAGAGAATTGAAGTAGGAGTAAATGGGAACATTTTAATGATACAATGATTTAAATACAATGATTTAAAATATGTGATGTGTAGGGGAAATAACTATGGAAGGTATAAGTGTTCCCATAAAAGTATAATATTCAATTGAAAAGTGAGGTGTAAAATGTTTAAGATATAAATGAATATTAATATTAATGATTAGATTTGTATTGGCATTGATAGTTGTTTTAATTATATTATATACTTATAATTTTTTCTTTTTATAAAATATGTGTAATTTTAGAATGTACTAAACAGAATCCCAATGGAAGTTATGTATTATATTAAGTATTATAAATTTAGGGGAAAGAATCAAAGGCGTCATACTCCAATCAGTGTACAGGAGAAGTTTTGTTTAAAGAGAAAAGAGAAATGGATAGCTGGAAACAGAACATACAAAGAATGATAAATATTGTGATCTGAACTGAGATGAGATAAATAAAATAAAACTAAGAGAGTTAAAAGAGGTGAGAAGCTATATAGAAAATGGAAAATGGTAATAAGATATGGAATGGTATATAAAATGAACATGAATCTGAATTTGTGTCTGTACGGAGAGATGTAACCCGGGATCAAGCAGCTTTCAGAAAAGATGTTTTATGTTTTTATGTTTTATGTTTTGTTTGTTTGTGTATTGTCTTTGAAAATAAATAAAAAAAAAAAGTAAAAAGTAAAAATTTGCACCTTATCATTACCTGATAATACATACCGATACAAGAATGTTTTATGAGAAAATTCAATATATAAATTAGTATATTTAAAGTTCCAATTATTTTACTATTATAACCACAATTGGGTGTACACTCTTTGTTTTAAAACAATGTACATTTATGCCATTCAATTAATTGGACTATTCTTAATTTTTGTAGAGTTAAGTACATTTTGAAATTTTCTTGGGAAACTAACCAAAACTGTGGTTGATATGTATTATTCTGATCCAAAAGAGTATTGTCGCACTGTATAATAGATCCCTCTCCAAGACTGATGTCTTCATGACTTCACTTATTTAATTAAGAAAATATGATTTAAAACTGTAAAATTCATTCAAAAGCAACTTTTTATTCCAATGTCAACTGCTCTCTTCCACAATATATTGCATTTTAAAACAATATTTAACATTAACACATTACCTGGTTTTCAGAAAATGGAAATTTTGGTTCTATGGAACACAGTTGATCATAGTATCTGAAATAAACAAACACCACCATAAGTGTACATGTTGTTTCAAATATACCAGATTTGGAAACCACAAACCCATGAATGACTCTCTAGTTCTATATGAACACAGTTAGACCTTCCTTTCCTCTCCCTCCACCACTGTGTGTGTGTGTGTGTACAGTACACACACACACATATACAGAAAAGATTTTGTGTATCCGTTTTTTAATGTACAATGTCTAGCAGCACCTAATTGTATTTTAAGTATGTAATATGTTTTATGGATTGAACACTGAGTGAAATAAAAAAAATCTATTTTACTGAAGATTTTGTCTTTTTAAAACATACCGTGTTTCTCCAACAATACGCTCCCCAAATAGGAATTCCCGTTTTCTAGGCATAAAATGAAATTAAGCCCCTACCCCCAAATTTAAGCCTCTTTTAAAACATGCAAAATGGGGGGAAGGGTGGGGGGACTTGCCGTTAAAAGCGCCCCATGGGCAGCCATGCCTCGCCAACAGCCGCTCCTAACAGCCGCTCATGGCGGAGCACGGAGGGCTCCCTACCCCCACCAAGCGCCTTTGCTTCAGACCCGGGTCAGTGGGCGGCCGCCGGCGGCGTAGATGTCCACTGGCGTTTCAGCCGCTTCTCAGGCCTCTGTAGCATCTACGGTTCCCGCCGGCGCTGGCGCCTCTCTCACTAGCACCGTCTCCAACAACAGCGTCTGAGTCGCTCCCGCTTTTCCCCCCATCCCCGTCCCCACAACAGGGAAAAAAAACATTTTGAGGTACCTGGGAGCACCGCGTGGTGCGTTTTCGTTTAATCCCGAGTGGCTGGTTGGGCGTGAGAAGAGCTGAGAAAGCGTCTCTGCCGCTGCTACCCTTGGTGCTCTGCAAGTTTCCAAAAGTCCCAGTGCGCAGCCATTCCTGCATTCCAAGCGTGCCCAGGCCGAACTGCAGCTGTCCCTCTCTCACCAGCGCCGTCTCCAACAACAGCGGCAGCAGCGGCGGGTACCGTGGAAGTTACGGAGGCAGCTCCGCAGCCCAAGAAGCGGCTGAAAGGCTTCCATGGTTCCCGCCGCTTGCAGAGCCCAAGGCTGGAGCACCAAGGGTAGCAGCAGCAGAGACACTCGCTTGGCTCTTCTCACACCCAACCAGCCACTCGGGATTAAACGAAAACGCATCATGCGGCGCTCCCAGATACCTCAAAATGATTTTTTTCCCCATTGTTGCGGGGATGGGGACAGGGGGGAAAAGCAGGAGCGACTCATATGCTGTTGTTGGAGACGGTGCTGGTGGGAGCCGTGCAAGAAGCACCAGCGCTGGCGGGAACCGTGGAAGCTATGGATGCCCAAGAAGTGGCTGAAAAGCTGCCGGCAGACATCCACGCCAATGCTGCCCACCCGCTGAGTCTGGGTCTGCAGTAAAGGCGCTTGGCGGGGGGAGCCCTCCACGCTCAGCCATGATGGGCTGTTAGGAGTGGCTGGTGGCAAGGCGTGGCTGCCCACGGGGCACTGTAGGCGAGGTTGCGTTGGGGAGGAGAAATTAATTCACCCCGAAAAGATGTCCTAGCCATTTTTTCGGGGCTCAAAAAAAAATAAAACGAAGCCTTATTATGAGAAACACAGTAGCAAGGACAGTTCATAGAGAAAGGTTGGGAAAAGAATAGGGTTTCCATTATTTTAGCTTCTGATTAAAGTTTAAAATCTCCAAAAACCTGGAAAAGTTCTCGAAGTTTAAAGCAGAGACACATTCACTCCAGAACATTTTCTTTCTGTATAAATATGCACAGCCAGGAGTCTGTGGTAAGTTTTTTTTTTTTCTATTTTTGACATTATGCTATATTGCAGGATCCAATCTGGGTCAGTCCCCTGGACCAGAGGTTTTGTCTTCTGAGCTTTCAAACTTATGCTGGAGCCCATCTTCAGGGAACTTCTCTGTAGCAGAGTGTGTGCTGTTCTGTGTGTGGTATTTATAGTACCTGTTGTAAGTGGCTTTTTAGATGTTGATTGGGGTAAGTTGATGGCTGGCTTTTAAGTCATTAGCTATCAACCACAACCGAGTTCAAAATTTCCATTGCTACTTGCTTGTGCTGCCCAGCCCTTGCCTTCTAAGTACTTGGATGGTGGTAAATCAGCACTCTTGTTGGCCAATGAGGGGCCTGTTTTCCAGGTTTCAATCATTTCCCTGGCTGTTTCTGTGCCTGCTGGGCCAAAAATCTTAGAACAATCAGGGAGTGCGACTACAGAAATTATTTCACTGTAACATAAAGGCAATATAAGGCACAAGTTAGACACCCTGGAAGGCTAGGTAATAATTGGAAGAACTATCAAGCTGTTACACCAAAATAGGATAAGGCATTAAGTGGAAAAATTAAAGAAGGTTTTGGACCTCCAACCATCCCCACTCCTACGTTCAGCATCACTGCAGACAGTCCTCAACCGCCACTAAAGTCCAAAATTTCCATTGCTAAAGCAAGGCAGTTAAGTGAACTTTTCCCCATTTTACAATTTTTTTTTTGCCAAACTTGTTAAGCAAATCACTGCATTTAGTGAATCTGGCCTTTTCCGTTGACTTTGCTTGTTAGAAGCTACATGGGAAGGTTACAACTGATGATCATATGACCCCAGGACAGTGTCATAAAGACATAAATAACTAAATACATGCTACTAGCCAAGTGCCTGAATTTTGATCATGTGACCATGAAGACGCTAAAATGGGATAAGTGTGAAAACCAACCATAAGTCACTTTTTTCAGTGCCATTGTAACTTTGAACGGTCACTAAACAAATGGTTGTAAGTCGAAAACTACCTGTATAAAAACATCACGAGATTCATTCTTGATTATATTAGGAAATAATGAAAACATGACCCACTATAATGTTGAAACTGGAAAATAGTGAAGTAGATCTTCCTAGCATTTTTCTGTACATTCAGGATCCCCTTTTTTCAGATCAATCAACTATTAATTCAATGATTGCCACAGAAATTGACCAACAGCTTGTCGCCCAAGTTTCAGATTATAGGACAAAAATGACTGGCTCAAAGTCATCCAGCTGGCTTTCAGGCCTAGAGTGGGACAGAACTCAGTCTCCTAGCTTTTAGCTTGGTGTCTTAACCACTAGACAAAATCTTTCCACTTCTTACTAAGGCAAAGTATATCCTGTTTGTTTTACTTCAGTTAATATATAAACAAACCACACATCAATTCTTTACCTTATGGGATATTCTATTCTATAAGTAAACATTCCTGACTTTGGAATAGTTTATCTCTGAAGATTAAAAAAAAAACTAATTTCCCAGAAGTATTTCCTGCACCCATGGTATTTTAAATAAACGATCGTTACAACTAAAATGTCTGTATCATCATTAAGTTACTGACTTGATTTTTATACTGATTTATTTATGACACAAAGTAGTGAGAAAATATATTATCTGCATTTCTATGCCATTCTTTCCAAAATTATTGTGATTACAAATCAGTGTCCATATGGTTGTCTTAAGCATGGGTCACTAATCCATAATCATAATAATTTTGGAATAGAGTGGCACAGAAATGCAGATAATACCTATGCCCACTATTTTGAACCAATCATGAACCAATAATCAAAAGAATTAATTAGAAAACATGTTAAAGCTCAGAGGAAGTTAATAAGACCCAGTCTAAGTTTCTGCACATCACCCACATATTAATTTTTAGTAAGAATTATTCTTTAATTAATGGGATTTTTACAAAAGCCAAAGTGCTGTACAAGATGTTTGACTTTTAGATGAGTAACCTCCTGGACAACAATATTCATACTTAATAATTTGCATACATTATATATAAATAATATGTATATAACAATGTATTTCATACAGGTGATCGTTTAGTAGAAAACCTGAAAATTTATCAAAATGTTATTTTTTTCTAGTTTATATTAATCTACCCTAGATTTTCAGTTAGAAACATTATCATTTAAACATAATCTTCAAACTGTCTCTAGAATACTATTGTTGTTATTGTTGTAATTATTTAGCATATGATGAGAACATGAAAGAAGTAAATATATTTACACAATTGCAAAGGCCTCCTTGCAAAATCATCATGCAGGAAACTAACACTTGTCAAATTAGTGACATTTCAATAAATTTTATTGAAATTACTATTTCAAAAACAGATTAATTTCTACTTTTAATTTCTACTTCATTAAATATTTCATGCAATTATAGAAACATCTCATGTGAATCCTTTCAAACAGGATAAGCTAATAAATAGAACTACAATCTAAAATTTCACAGGACAACAACCATTAAAGATAAAGAAAATTTGCACATATGGAAAACACATATACCATAAAGAAATCTACAATCGCATAAACTTCCTTGTCATTTCCCCTATACTGTAGTGTAAGAGGGCCTCTCCGGTTCTTTATTCATCTTACGTCTTTTGGCGAATTCATACATCCTTCAATAAATTTATGCACATAATCCAACTGAAGAATCAAGAATGAACTGGTTTCCAGAATACCCAATATGTGTGGGGGTGGGGGGTTGTGCCCAAATATTAGTCACAAAATAAATCCAGGAGGAAGAAAACAACCTAGAAGAACGGGGCATCACTCTGCCCGCATTGCTTGTACTAAGGATCGCAAAAGCATCAGGAATGAGCTCGTCTCTTCTATTCAAAAATGTCTAGCGAAGACACCCCTCAAGGATGGCAAGTAGAGCGTCGGCTCCTTTATATTAACTCTTAAGCTACTAATCCACCCTCAACTACAGAAAACCGGTGTAATTTTCGTTCTTGTCGTTTTTCTTTTTCAAGGCGGATAGGACTGTTTGGAAAGCATCCAAGCCGTCACCTCTACATTCACCCACCCATTGGTAGTATGATGCCCAATTGTCGCCGATAGGCGAGAGCCAAGGCACCCGCCTCCGCCCGAGGGCTGGCTCGGTTTACTTGCTCGCAACTCATCATGCCAGGACGCGGCCTACGCGCAGCCTCACTGCGGGTTCGCCCGCGCGCCCTCCCCCACCACCTTATCCGCGCGCCTCACCTCAGGAGGGTCTCCAGCGAGCTCTCATGCTTGTCGAGCGAGCGCCCGAGCGCGCTCTTGCGCAGCTTACTGAGTTCTTCGGCGGCTCGGCAATGTTCGGCCTGAGATTCTCCACCCGGATAGGTCTGCTGGATGAACTTGCAGAGAGGCTTTGCCAAGTCTACCTCCGAGGTTTTCTTTAGTTGCACTGTAATGAACGACGCCATCTTCTTCGTCCCTTTCTCGTTCACTTCTGGTTCCCACCCACCCCCACTACTTATTTTGTACCTCGACTTGACGCTGCTCCAGATAATGTCTAACCGTTGTCCGCAACTCACTTCCTGATTCTACGTAAAAGTTCAGAGTCTCTATGGTATACTGGGATCATTACGTCATGCTCACGCGCCCACAGTCGCAGTGACTTGGCTCCGCCTATTCCCAAAGGGTTTTACTGTAGTTCCACCCAGTCGTCTTTTACTTATTTCTCCGGCTCCGCCCAGTATTTCGAAATGTTTTACTTTGTGAAACTTCCTGGTGCTTGTAAGTACAAGGAGGTGGAGGAAGCAGGTTAAGGAAAGATGGTTTCTCTTGCAAATAATGCTGTTGGTGGCCTATTTGATATAATCTGTAAATCCGAGGAAAGTTTCCGATGCAACAAAAGCAACTGCATATTCCTTTAATCTGGAAAGAAATCTTGTGGATGAAGCTTTGGAATGACTACAGAAAGGATTGTACAGCCTTTATACCGTAACTGGCATGCTCATTTTTTCCCAATGTACACATTCGATGAAATGGTCTCTATATATTATAACTACAGCTGTGTGAAAAAATCCTGCATGCTTTCAGTTTTAAGCTGTATTTACATGTTTAATCAACTTTTCACTCATAGAAACGACGCAAAATTAGTACTTTGGTGAAAATTTCTGTAGTCAGATTGAGATACATAATTTTTATTAATATAACCAAAGTCTTTTTAAGGTTTTGAGTGAGTTTATGTGCTAAAATAAACACAACTTGCATTTTCGAGAATGTTAGGATCGAAAGTAGCCAATCAGCAGCAAGCTTTGGCTGACCAATCAAAATGCACAGAGGCTAAATTTATGAGCCAATGTTGTAATACTCTGACTATAAATAGGCATGAAAAGCATCAACAAATTTAATTTAGCTCTGGCTGCAGGCAAGGATGAAGGCCTTTCCTTTCACCAGTACTAAGCAGTGGCATCGTATCATTATGCTTCATGAAGAGGATTACGCCTGTATAGAAATAGCCAAGAGAGTGAAATACCATCGCACCACAGTGAGCAGATTGGTTGAAAAATACCAAATAACCGGTTCAGTTGATGACAGGCTCCGCTCTGGAAGATCAATAAAGTCAACAAAACAGTAAGATCAGGCTGTAGAATGCATTTCGAAGGCTGACAGAAAGCTCACCTCACCTTAGATTACAAGAATTTGGGGTGAAATGTGATGTAAAAGTGTTCACAAGCACAGTGCATTGCAGCCTGCTTGTCAGAGGGCTCGAAGTAACCCTTTGCTCACAGATACTCATCACTCTTGTCAACGTGCGTGGTCCAAGAAGTATGCCAAGTGGACCAATGAACAATGGACCAAGGTCATCTTCAGTGATGAGAGCATTTTCTACTTGACTGTGAATCAGTGCAATAAGTATGTCAGAATATTTCCAGCTGAAGAATTTAGGCCATACTGCCTGAATCTATCTGAAGCATCCATTGCATGTGATGATCTGGGGCTGTATCGCTGCTTCTGGTATTGGTTGGATACAAATCATGCAGGGAATCATGAATTCCAAGCAGTATGTTGAAGTGCTGGAAAAGACCATGCTTTCTTCAGTTCAGCAACTTGACTTTTACTTCCAGGATGACAACACTCCTTGTCATCGAGCCAAGTCCGCCCAGCAGTGGATGAAGAAGCATGGTGTTCAACTCCTGGATTGGCCAGTTCAGAGCCCAGATTTGAACCCAACTGAGAACTTGTGGGCCAAGATTGGTTACGAAATAATCAAGAAGCATCCGAAGATCAAGCAGGAGTGATTGAATCCATTATTGCAGCCTGGCACCACATTGTCACCAAAGATCATGTGCAAAAGCTTATACAGTCTATGCCGAAGCAATGCCTCTGGTGATAAGCAATAAGGGCTGGCCAATTTCATATTAGTAACCATGTTTGGTTACCTAAACGGTCCTTTTCAGGGCCACAAACAATAAAAATGTTAACAAAACACTAGCATCGGCCTTAGTAATTGCAACATGTATGCCACTGGTTATGCATCAGTTAATCTGTTTTTATAGTCATTGTAAGAATGCATTGTAAGCATGCAAGAAAATTCACAATCCCCATCCAAACAGCACCAAATTGCAAAAAGCTTATGCTTTTCACTTAAAAACCACCATTATTTATTTAAATATAACATTTGCATAGCAGTTAGCATAAAATATAAAATCAGTGGGCTATCCAAAAAAATTCATAAACCGTAAAGCGTGCAGGACTTTTTCACACAGCTGTAGCTAAGATGTACCATTATAGTTTGTACCTTGAAGTTCTTGTTATTGATGGATTGATTGAGCCTTTCAATCAATGTTGAGTCCTGACAATTTGCATTTGCCTGAATTTGCATTTGTGACCAATTAAGCATCCTGCAATCATGTGACTGATGGTTTTGCTGAAAACTGGCATTTCTACTTTTCAGCAGAGCCTTACTCATAGCTAACATTGGTTCACTTAACAACTGTGATGACAAAAGTCATAAATCAGATTGGCTATGTGGGTGACCCAAATTATGAGTCATGAGTTAGGACAATGATGGGTAGTCTCCAATATGATTGCAACTCAACTATTTGTCTCATCATTCTGCCATTTCATTATTCTCTTTTGCACTAAGCTAGGCCACAAAGTACTTAGCGTGCTTTTGAGTGAGCTATTTATAGCTATTGCACAATTCTAATAAGTTACCAGCTCATCTTGCTCCACTATGGAAAAAAGAGTGAATGAATAGCTGAACAGATGTGGAGGGGAGTATATATTAATAATCCTTTTCTGATCCCACTCATGATTTGTACCTTTTGCAGCTGTTGAGTTCTTTCAGTTTTAGGAAGAAAACATTTTAACACCAGTATTGTTACGATAACTTCAGTGATGTGCACTGAAGATGGTGTTGATTTCATTGCACGAGGTGCAATGACTAAACTAAATTAAAACTTAAGGTCCCTTATATTATGGGGCAAGGTAAAGGTACAGTCAAGGAAATGCAAATAGAAAAAAATGTGGCCATGATATATTCATATCATGTTTGGCAAATGGCGGGGGGGGGGGGGAAATCTAGGATTACATTTTCATTATCCCTAGGCTATGTGACAAAATGTTATATACACCATCAGTATATATTAGTGTGTCTTATTAATTACCTGATGTTATAGATATTATATATTTTTCTACTTGTTTGGTCTATTTTTATTCTTAATTTATTTTTATTGGTTTCAATATTAGCTACCTAGAATTCTTAGTGAATGGATAGCCATACAAATTGAATGAATGGATTATAAATAACTTTGGATAATTGCAGCAACTGAGATTGTAGCTGAGGAGACAACAGTGTAGTGGCAAATCTCAATCATTTAAATTTATTTTGTATTGAGCATAACATTTCAGTCAGATTAAATGATCAACATGGCAACATAAGACATATCAAATACTGTGTACAAATTGTCAACTTACCCAACCAGCTTGCTGCAGCTGTTAATATTTATCCATTCTAAATGAAAAGTGTTAAGCCAGAATTCAAAGGAAGAGACTAATAGACAAATTATAACAAGCAACAAATATGACTGCAAAATAAAGCAAGTCTTTAAAAAGATAATGTTCAGACTGGTAACAATTTGGCTACAATTTTCTAGTTTGTTAACATCATTTGTCTATCTCCACCATCCTCAGAATTCAGGTTGTATTTGCAAATATAAAACATATACCCCTTTATTCTTGGGGTAAAGTGTTTCAAACCATCAGCACATCCTTAGAGAAAAGGCTTCTACACAGTGCCTTCATCTTTGTTTTCTATCAAAGTTTATATATCTTTTTTAAAAGCTTACAGAAACAGGGTGTGAATGAGCTTATGACTCATCAGAATTAATTATATTTCTTGTCTAAATATTTATATTGACAACCTTCTCTTCCATTTGTTACAATGAGCTAGCGTTGCTGAATATTCTTAAATTTTTTATTGTGTTTTGCCTATTTGTACCTTAGTACAAATGTTGCATTATACTGCAACAGTTTTGAATCAATATACCTCAAAAGAATATTTAAAAATCCAAGACCCAATAGTCTTTTTAAGTTGAAATTTTCACAATTTCAAACATCTTTTATTTGTAACATTGTGGCCACTGCAACTTGATTGTGGTTACGTGATTGCAATTTCCGGTGCTCCTTTCCTGCTTCCCAGAAGCAAAGTCAATAGGGAAGCTTGCAGGAAGTCAGAAGTTGCTCCAGCTCCAGGAGAAGGCGGAGCTTTGTTTCGGCGATACAGCTGCAATCTCGGGGCTCCGAGATCGCAGCTGATATTTTCGCCCCTGGTCTAATTTGCTGAGTTTTGAAAGGACACTCTGAATATAAGAAGAAATCTGTGAGATTTTTTTTTGACAAAACTGTATGAGCGGCGTTTTTTAAAGGGATGTCAAACTGAGGCTTGGATTTTTTTTTCTTTTCCTTACTTTTTTTGGGGGGGACTTCAGCGTGACTTTGTAGTTAACCGGACTGAATTTTCTCTTATATATATTCTTATGCTCCTTTTTGAT